TAAATCATATTGCGTATTGTCGGCATTAAGAATTGGCACAAATAACAGAGCAACTGCATCAATAGGCACTGCAACATTAAAAACAGCCAAAGATGCAGATTTTTTTAAATATCATATAACGGATAAAAGCCTATCTCTGACTCATAAAAAAGATCAAAGCAAATAATGATGTCAGGGTGGCCACTGGTCATGGAAATCATGAAAATGTCATACAATATTATTTGGTCATGGAAAAAGCCATGGAATTTCTAAATTTTTATTGAAAGTCATGAAAAATTCATGAAACTTTTTAAAATTATCTATATTTTTTTCTACTTGTGATATTTTTAGGATGCAAAGAAAAAAACTAGTATGTCTAGTCTAAGTCCTTTTATAAAAAAGATACTTTTGCAGTGTTATCAGAGAAGTAAAACTAAAATTAGATATTTTCTTTAACTAATTTATTAAAAATTAAGTAAGTAACAAAAACTTTATAATTAAGCATAACATAATTAAATAATAATGTAACATAAATAACAATAAGTTTAACACAATTTTAAACTCATTTAACGAAATAAACAAAATGTATAAACTACCAAAAAAATAATTTTTTTTCAGTAACAACTGATTTTTGCAACAAAACAAAAAACTGGCATGACAAATAATATTTTCAAAATATTAAGATATAATAAAAGTATATATATGCAATGAAAGTAGTATATTAGCATATAGTATATTTGCAATAAAAATAATATTTAGCAAATACTGATAAAGTCAAATACAACCTCAAATTTGTAATGGCAATGCTGCTTTTTACTTTTTTAGAAAAAATTTGCCGAGGTAGAAATATTTTGGAAGTTATTGCAGTTACTCTAATCCTTTTTTCTTTTTGGATTAAATGCATCTTTCATATCTTTACTGGAAGTTTTTGCTTTCGAAGTTGTTCTTTTATAGACTTGAGGCATTATAACAAATGATAAAAATAAATGTAATGTAGTAGAGAAGTTTTCTAATGATATACTAAGATATAAAAGTCAAACATAAATATGTTTTTACGATGAAGTCAAAACTTTTTTAACGTGAAGTATTAGTGAGCCGCGGTTCACTCCTACCCGTGAAGGAATGGCTCATTCCTCCCCAAGCTGTACAACTGGATTAAAGTATTAAATGTGAAATAAGTACGTGGTTTATGCATGAAAAATACTTTGTTCTAAAAACTACATTGTTTATAAGTAAATTATGAACGAATAATGTCTAAAAATAACCGGTATGCTCATTAAAGAAGTTTCATAAAATACAAAAAGGTTTACTTTTGCTCAAAAAAGAGTGACAACGTAAATGCAGACACCCGCACCAAGAAGTGGTAAAAAAATTGGATTGTGTTAACAAAAATTTGTATGTAACTACTTGGTGAAAATTTTGGGTCTTTTTCATTTCTCGTTTTAGCTGTAGGATCAACGGTTTACTCCTACCCTTAGCTCACTCTTACCCATCCTCCCTTACTTATTTTTTTAACTGAAAAAAAAATTATTATAGGTTGAAAGGGTGGATTTAATCAATTTTTAGAGAAGAAACTAGGATTCAAACTTATCTGGATTATTTGTGCGCTACATACCAACAAATTGCCACTTAGGTATTTATTGTTAGCTTTAGATGGAAAAACTTTATCTTGAAATAAATTCTCAGGAAACATGGCAACAACTCTTTCTATTTTGACATACATCCCTCAGCTTGATTTTGCTGTAGACCTAATTCATCTCGAGAAGAAAGTTGTAGGCTCATTACCTACAGATCAGAATTTATACAGAATATATAATGCAATAGCATCAAGTGTTTTTCCTGATAACTTAAAGGAGATTCAAATTGGCCCACACAATCATTCAAGATGGGTGAATCTTGCAAATAGACTACTTTGAATATGGTGCTCCAAGCATGGTTTAAAAAACAAAGGTCTACAAACTTTGAAATTGTTGCAGAGTTCATTATGGGTGTTTATTCTGTTATGCAGTTTGAGCTTAAGGTAAACTTAGTTATGTTAATAAAGATATAATACAATAACTTACTTCAATACTATAATTTACTTTAATAATTGTAACACAATTGTGATTATGCTAAAGAAAAGTAGTTAATTTCAGACTAAATATAGCTCGATTCAAGATCCACGTCATACCCTTAAACAACTAGCCTTGGTAAAGAAAAAGACAAGTTTGTGAAGGATATTGTACTACCCCATGTCTGCTCCTCTCTCTGGAATGCACACAGTGAACGTATTCTTCAGACAATACTTTTTCGTTTAGATGAAGGAGAAAGGAGATTTGCATTGCAGAAGATAATTGATCTTAGAAAAAATAAGGACGTTGGAGACAAAAAATGCAGAAATAGAAGAATATTAATGATAAACACTGACTCAAATTTTATAATCAGTATTTAACTTTTTATTATGAGTAAACAATTTATTTTAGAAAGATATGCGGAAAATGCTGTTATCAAATATTTTAATATCTTATTACGCGTATAGACATAATTTACCATAAAATTGTAATTTATGATTTAACTTTAATATATTATTGATGTAACTAGGTTAACTGATGTAACTAAGGCTAAGGAATCTTTGTAACTAGGTTAACTAAGGCTCAGGAATCTTTTTAGACTTTATTTTGTTGAGTAGTAGCAAAGCATTTTTCATAAATTCGCATAAACAATATATTTATGATAAAACTTAAATTCTCAGGCTGAAAATTATATGACTAAAAATTAAATGCAAATAAAAAGAGAATTGGTTCTCAATATCATATTGTCGAAGGCATAATAAAAATGCCCAGCCGAACCTAAATTCAAAAAATTTTCAAGTGAACCACCCTATTGCATACCTCTCCTTTAAAAGGTTTTTAAAGAGAGACAGTGTTATGTTTCGCTCTATTTTTATTTATTTGTTTCTTCTCTTATCCCTTTTTAATTTATTTTCTTACGCGTTTTTTATTTACCGTCTAAATAAACGATGTAACGATGGCTTTTGATAAAAACTAAAAATAAGATTTGTTACAATCTCGTCATACAAAAAAAATTTAAGTTACTCTTCCAGTTGCCAACACTGGGTATCCTCCAGTTACCAACACTGGTTGTCTTCCAGTTTCCAACACTAGGTATCATCCGTAAATTTTTTACTCCTTAGCTTAACTATAACAGTGGTATTAGCAAAAAAAAATTTTTCCAATCTTATCAAAATTATCTTTAAAATTTCTGTGTAGAAAAAAAGGAAAAATTGATTTATTTTTTTTGTGAATTGATTTAATCACAACAAAATAAATTATGAAATTAAAATAGAGATCTGTTTGAGAAAAAAGTAAGAGTTCTGTTTGAGAAAAAATGATGCAAAAACTTTGAATATGCTTTAGGATATAATGTTAAGCTTATCAACAATTAAAAAATTCGTTTCTCCTTTACAAGACTTAGTGATAAAGATTTTAACTGAAAACAAAACTCTTTGTCTGTATAACAATAGATTATCGGCGCTGAAATTGAATTTAAAAATCCCAAATATTTTATTGCGAATTCTAAGTACGTTTGACTTGCTGAGTTTATAAAGTTTTTATAAAAACATTTCTTCGGGCAGAATTTACTTAATACATAGTAGATAACCGATGGTGTCCAACAAATTGCGTAACAAACCGATATTAAAACAGAGATTTTGATGATGCTTTTTGTATGACTAGATATTTGTTTGTTAAAATTTAGTGCAATGTAAACACCAGTTTGACCTTCGTACTGTAAAACATTCTGTTGTGATGTTTCTGTGCTTTCTTGTATATTTTTAATCCTAACAGATTCTTTTTTAAAATCTTGAATGTTTTTGATAATACATTTATAAAAATAGAGAATTACAAGATAAGGAAAAAAACAATTGAAAACAAGCATCGTTATTGTCCAAGCAGTATTCTGACGATAAATACAAAAGTCATTTTGTTGATTTATACCATCTGGCAACAGCTGCAATGGTTTCTCAGGTGATGATTCCAATGGTAGTTCAGTTGATGTTTTCAATGTTAGACCAGGCGATGGGTGTAAAGGTAACTCAGATAGTTGTTGCAACCGTATTTTAGTTGATAACTGCGTTGGTAACTCAAGTGACTGTCTCCGAGGTAATTCAGATGTAGAAAATGGAATTATACATAACATAGTAATATAAATCCATGATATAATTATTACAATTCTCACTGTTTTTATTCTCACTAAACTTTTATATTTGAAAACAAAAGTAGTTGCAATATACCGATCTGAAGCAATAAGTAGAACACAAAATATTGACATATAATATGTTAACATGTATAAAAATCGAAAAGAATTACATACAAAACTATCCCAAAATCTACTATGAGTGCTTTGTTTTTTAACGGCATAGATTGGAATTACAAATATTCCTTGCAACAAATCTATTATCAACAAATTGATAATAAAGTGTATTGATGGTCTAGTTAACATTTTCTTCGATTTTTTTATAACAACCAAGCTTATAACGTTTAGCGTTATTGTTGCCACAGAAAGCAAAGAAAGAAAAGCAATGGATAAAGTTTTAAAAGATTCATGTATTGAAGTGGTATTCATTATTTCTTTTATTCAACAAAAGTCTAAACTGCAAGTTAACTACGTAAAAAAATATTTGAAAGCTTGTATTTAACTTATTGTATTTAACTTATGTATTAAAAGTTACAAAAAGTTTAAGCTTTTATTTTTTTACCACCTGCAATTTCACAATTTATTCTCTTAGACTATCATTGCTGTTGTTTTAATAAAAATATTTCTCCTTATCTAACCCCCTGAATTCTATTCAAAAGTTTCTAAATAGTAATTAAATACAAACGTGTTTTTCTCGTTTTAAAATACTATATCAAACAAATTAATTTAACTTTCAATATATTGTAAACAAATATTTTTAAATATTTATATATTTTTTAATAAGAAATAAGTTTAAAAATAATTTTTAATAAAACTCAGTAACATATTGTAAAAGATGGAATACTTACTAGAAAATTTATTGCGAATCTAATGCTAATCTAATCTCGCGTTAAAAAATTAAAAACAATTTTTTTAGATTTGCAAGCAAACGATAACTCAATAAATCTATTATTAAGTGATAACTCAATAAATCTACAAACGCAAACTGTTTTAAGATTGAGAAAAAAATCATGAATTTTTAACAAAAAATGATTTTCATACTTGCATTAATAACATATATTAAAAATAGATACGTATACAAATCTAATTTAAAAAAATATTTTTTTTTATTATTAATTGTGTAAACATGCCCACATTATCATGTCCAATATATGTGTATAATTTATATAATATTTAATATACCATTAGAAAATATAACAATATAAAGGTAAATTAGTAAATAATAAAAAGATTCTTCTATGATTGATTTATTTTCTCCTGTAAAAATACTTTGCACCAAAAGGTTTTGTGGTGCGTGCAACACTTGGTGTTACAAATTTTTTTCACGTGTGGGAGGAGCACACGTTGAATAAAATAAATACAAACCTAATTATAAAGTTATATCTGATACATTACACAAGAGATTGGTCAACTCATGCATCTGCCATGTCTTTCAAGTTTTACACCTGGCGCTTTGCGAAGCGCCAGGTATAAGAATTGACTGACGTAATATTTAATATATAACACGAAAGTGCCAATCTTATTCAGTTCGCATTTTTTGTGTGAGATAAAGAAAAATCTATATCACTATATCAAAATTTTATTCAATTTTTTTTTTAAAGTTCTTTTTTAGTCTTAACCCTAAAAAGATTTTATACGGTTTCAAATGAAATAGAAAGTATTACTAGTTAAAATATGGTTTAACTAACTTCTTTTGTTTACAAACAACATTTTTTAGTAAAACATGTTTTTTGATAACAATTTTTTGTTAAATCCGTTTTAAAATATGTCAGCAAATAATACGTTTTTTGTAATTTTGTAATTTTCCTCTAAATAATTTTATAATTAGAGGAAAATTTTGCAAAATATTTTATATAAAAATAAACTTTGTTTCTTTTCAACGGTTAGTTTTTTAAATTTATTATCTTACGCGTTTTTTGTTTACCGTCTAAATAAATAATTCCTTAAAAGATTGGAAAGAAGATTTTAATCGATCTTATAAAGATTAAAATTATTTTATCAATGATTTGCGCGAATTTTAAAAACATAAGATTTTATCAATTTTTTTAAAAAATATATTCGATTAATTCTTCAATTTATTTTAAAAAAGAATTTTTTCAGAAGAAATTATTATTTTTTTAAAATTCACTTATTGAGTGAATTTTAAAAAAATAATAATTTCTTCTGAAAAAATTACTGAGTGCATTTCTAATATACTAGTTTCATCACTGCAATTAAGCTTACTGAGTGCATTTCTAATATACTAGTTTCATCACTGCAATTAAGCTTACCGAGTGCATACACTAATTTCATCACTGCAATTAAGCTTACTGAGTACATTTCTAATATACTAGTTTCATCACTTCAATTAAGCTTACTGAGTGCATTTTTAATTTTTTGCCAAAAATCTTTAAACCATTTGGGATCAAAAAAATCTTCAGGTTTTAAAACATTAGTTACTTAAAGAAATACACTTACCAGTTAAAGAGAAAGCTTTAGCTAGTCTTTTGTAGGGCAATAACCATAAAAGTCAATATCTTTAGTCACTTTCTTTCAGCAAAATCATATTCAACTTTTTTTAGTCGCAACATATGTTGTTTAGATTTGCTATGTTGGAGCAAAAAAGACTCGAGTGATGTTTGAATTGTAAATACAATTGGCATAATCTTAAAATCTTTTTAGTTCAATGTTATAGTAAACCAGAGGTGGAAAGTAACGAATTATATTTACACACGTTATTGTAGTTGATTTTTTTGTAAATTTTGTATTTAATAAGTATTTTTTCAAAAATTGCGTGACGTAATTTATGGACAACCCCTTACGAAGACATCAAACATGTGCACTGCTGATGTTTAGATTTTAATCTTTCTTATTTAAGTTTTAGTAGAAAATTAAACAATGCTGTTAAAAAAGTAATGTGGTAATATTTGCTACGAGTACATTTTTAATGAGCTAATTACTTACTTTTTACTTTTACTTGAGTAAACTTTTTAAACGGTAACGTTTACTCGTACTTCATTTTACTCAAATAACAGTACTTTTACTTAAATACAAAATTTTTTTAAGTACACCTCTGCAGTTAGCTAACTGATGGTAATAAATCCATTCATATCAACTAAAAGATTTGTTCTCGTTTATACGATGCATAAATAGCTATTTTCAGAGAGAAAAGTCGATAAAACTAATATTGCTCTTAGCACAGGTGATTTTGAAAAGTCTTTTAAAAAACTTTTTTAGTACTGTTTTTGTTAGAGATAATGGTATTGCACCTGTCTTAAACTTGCCAACACACTCAAGCTCTTTAAATAATATAGTGTTTCCATACAGTTCTGTAGTTTCACTCTACATAATCTTCAATCAAAGTCCTCCAAATCACTTGATGGATACCCAGCAATACTTCTTAAACCAATCGCAAGTTACCATTTTTTTTTCCTCTTACCATATTGTTCGAATTGTCAATGTCAAAAAATGCTATACCTTTATTCTAGAAAACCGCTATTGTTTGCCCTTTTTTAGAATGGAAATCCATCTTTACCCACAAACTATAGACCTATTTCTATAACGTGCTTGTTTGTAAAGTTATGTCGTCAATCATTACAGAATGCATTACAAACTACTTACTAATTAATAACCTTATTACCACTCATCAATTTGGCTTTTTAAAGCGTAGATCCACCTGTACACAGATGTTGATAACCTTAAATGAGTGGACCACTGCTGTTAATAACAAAAAAATAGTTGATATTTTATATAAAGACTTTGAGAAAGTCTTTGTTTCTTTGACTCACTCTAAGTTATTGTTCAAACTGCATTGTTCTGATCATGGAAGTATTAAAACACATCCATGTTATTTTCATGTTTATAATTCTATAATACTTCCATGTGCTGATATACAGTATGAATTGCTAAACTGGATTACAAACTTTTTAACAAATCATTTTCAATGTGTCTGCGTAACACTTTAGTAACAAGTTCTATATTCCAGCACATTGTTTAAAATATATTTTAGTATTGTGTCGGTATTCAATATATTTTAGCAATGTGTCGGTATTCAAACAAAACTCTTGTAAAGAGCGGAATACCTCAAAAGACTTTTTTGAGGCTCATCTTATTTTTAGTTTTTATAAACAATGTAACTTCATGTATTGATGGTGATTGCAGCGTTAAGTTATTTGCTGTTAACAGCAAGTTATATCAAGCAAGTAATAATGGAAAAAACATTCACCTTATCAATAATTTAAAAACAATTTCAGAATTGTCAAAAGTTTGGCAATTTAATTTAGTAACCAAAAAATATTTTCACCTATGCCATAGAAATATTTCTTTACAATTAAATTTATACTCAATGAACATTGATATACCTATTGAATCTATTAATTCAAGATATTAGTATAGTCGTATCATTGGGTATGAAGTTTTCTAACCACTGTTATTTTATTGCAATCAATTTCATGGCAAGCTTTTTGTAAAACAATCTTAACTTATCTATTATAAAATCAAATGCTTCAATGCCTTGGTTGAACGAAATTATTTCACGATAAAGGTTTGAAAGTATTTTTTGACAAATAAGGTGATGTTATGGATGCACGTTTAATGTTTCATAAACATAAACTGTTCCAAAAAGCTGCTTTTTTAGCATAGTAAAACTGTGGCTGCAAAAAGCAAACAAAATGTTCGTGCTATGGCTTCAAGGGAAAAAATAAGCCCTCGCGTCACACCGGTAATAATATAATAAAAAACAGAATAAATTGTTTTCTCAAATGTATGATTCAATGCCCGGACATTACAAAATAACTATTCAAGATAAATGTTAAATTTTTTTTGTAAATATTTCATATTTTTATTATCCAACACTTTTACAAAAATATAATGGTGTGCTTAGTTTTAAATGGTATATATGTATTTATTTACTAATAATATATTTTAAGTACTAATGTGTTTTAGCTCACATTTTTAACCTAAGAACTATTGTTTTTAATCTACATTTCTTATATTTTCTTAGGTAAGAAAAAATAGTCAAAAACGGTCAAAAATTGCGTGACGTAATTTAAAAATCATCAAATAATCCCAAAAAACGCAACTTTGAAACCTGTGAACCACGCAAATTACCATTTGTTTGTAGTTAATTATATTAAATTACAAACAAACAGTAGCTTCATTTTTTAAGGGCTTCTTTAAGGTTACGTAAGCATAAAAATGAAAGAATAGATTGCTGCCAAACCCTCAGTCGATGTAGCGGAACTACTTTGCGGCAGCAGGCAATAAGATAGTTGATGTACGGACTATTTATATATATATATATATTATTATTACAATTTTTATATTTAGTAAATTTGACAACAACGGTACCAAGTTCGTAAAATAGACAAAATTTTACTGATTTCACGAATTCGGCAAGTTCTCAAATTCGGCGTAACTTACTTTTTAGAATATGAAATAACTTATGTCAGAGTTTAAAGAATATATTTTATTTTTACAAGAACATTATAACTATTTATTCATTAACGAAATATATATCGAATTGAATTGTTATTAAATATGAAATAAATAATACTTCATAAAGCATTGTTTACTAACAAGACACTTGGTAACAAAGTGCAGTATGTACTATTGGTACAATAGATATGATTATATTTAGTTATTAACATCAATTAACTCATTTTTTCAATATAAAGTGCCAAAGCTAACTTCTTAATATTTTATAACTTTACTGTATAAAAAAGTTTTTAACAGCTGGTTGGAAATTCAAATTTAAGGAAAGCAATTGGCTGAAAAGCTGAGACGCTATATCACGTGATCAAAACAATGTTTTAAGAAAAGCTGATTACAAACATTTTTTAAACACTTGAAATTTTTATACAGATTTTGGATTAAAGAAAAGTTTTTTTTTGAACAATTTAATGTAATTATTTTATTAAAAATTACTTTTAACATGAAAATAGGTTATCAAAAAGATTTAACTTGGACAGTTGTTAAAGCTAAAAAAAAGAAAAGGTCCCGAAACGAGGTTTGTTATTGTTTCTGACTTTATTTCATAAATAGTCATAATATTTTGATTTCCCAGGAAACATGTTGTTGTTGTTTATAAATTCTGTTTGTTTAAAGTTGACGTTTTTGAAAAAATAATCCAAGAAAAAAAGTTTTCATTGTTTTAAAATTCTATTTGTTTATGGTTAAAGTTTTTGAATAAAACTGATGCGGCTAACAATTTGCTAATATTCAAAGAACCTTAACAGCTTAAGCCCATTAACTTTCAACTTAAATATAAAATTACATTTAAAAATAACATACATATAATAGTTTTTATTTCTTTTATTGTTTGTTTATTCTAAAAGTAACTAGTAACGAAACCTTTTATATAATGACAGACTTATTATTGTGGCTCTGCGAAGAATTTCGAATCCTAGGGTTCCAAGCTCATGTTTTAAAAACTATTTTTAAATAACAATCTCCATTAAATAACCCGAGCTTTTTTTAATACTCTCTTACACGCGCTTCAAAGGATATCAGTTTTGTTAAATGCATGAATTGTGCTCTATTAATTAATAAATGTTTATATGTTGAAATAGTAAATTAAAACACAATATATACGAATTTGTGATTACTTGCGGTTGCAAGTAATCACGTGGTTAATTGCGGTTGCCTAAAAATTAATAAATAATGAGCATTTATTCACTCCGATTTTATATTTATTTTAAATTCAACTTTGTAATAGAAAATAATAAAGAAATCTATATTTTTAGTACATTTCATTGAGGTTTTGAAAATCAAAAAAAAAACGAAAAAGGTCTAAATTGATATCGATAGCAAATCAATCTTTATCGCTTGATTGATTTCATAAAACAAGAAGTAGCTCTACACCTAGTGCAAATCCAAAGATTTTTTTTTCTTATTTTGTTCGGTACCCCAAGAAGACCAAACGGCTTATCACAGTTCGTCCAAAATTCGTTTTAAACCAGGATCTCTTGCTTCTGAAGCAAGCGCTCTAACCACTGCGCGACGGCCACAGTAGCATAATATGTCAAACATTTCATTATGTCAGTAATATAGTTATGTCGGCCGCAGTAATTTAATTGTCTAACATTTGAGTCTTTTTAGTTATTTAATTATTGATGTTTTTTACACTAGCTGGTGTAGTGGTTAATGTTTTGGCTTCAGAACTTGAGGTCCGTGGTTTGAAGCCAGCACTGACCATATATGCGTCATTGGTAAGGAAGACGGCGTGAAATTCCTGACCAAATTCCTCAGTGCTCTGCTCAAGTGTTTTTAGATTAAACTTTAAGGCCAAAAAAAAACCCAAGTTTTATTTATTTTTTTTAATTTTAGGGTTTCATTTGTTTATGTGCGGGTAACGTGCTTTTCATCGTTTATATTTAGCGAATTTCAAAACGCTGATTTAAAATATAAAAACTACTTTTCGATTTTTAAAGTCCGACAAAAACGTTTCCTAAGCTATCTTGAATTCTTAACATTATGAAAATTATAAGTTCGTATTGGGTCAGCATATAATTTGATGAATTCACAACATAGCTCATTTTTTAATTTATTACACTATCGATAAAAATAAAAACGATAACCATTGAGAGATCAATATTATGTAATTTACTAATCAAAGTTAATGCTTTTAATAACTTTAGTACAATATTATTTTTATAGGTTGAATAAAGGGATAAATAAAAAAGAATCACCACCTCTGAGTCATCAAGAATTCCCAATTCATCAAGAATCCCCAAGTCATCAGAAATTCCCAAGTCATTAAGATCCGGTTTAATATCTAAATTGATATTTTGCTAACTTTTTTTTTTTATATTAAACAGAAATTGCTTTTAAGTAATCTTCCTAAAAAAAAAAGTGATTTTTATTAAAATTTATAGAACTTGAAATAAGAAAAGAAAATAAAAAATCAAAATAGCAAACCAAAATAAATTTTAATATAAAAAACTATATTGCATAAAGGAAATTTAGTTAACAATACATAATTACAAAAAACTTTAATATAGACTATTTCTAAACAAATAGCAATTGATTACAAAAACTATTGATTGGCCGGGTTATTATTATTAACAAATAAGATGTTGTTAATAATAATCAAATAATTTATTACAATGACTATGATTTATTATAACTTACTAGCAAAAAGCAACCCGTAATACGGGTTTTGGTCGGTCTGTTACATAATTAATTTATAGTGGCTGTTTTCCACAAATTAATGTTGCAAAACTTTAATTAATACCCTTTTAGAAAATTGTCTTCTTCTTGAAAAAATTAATCCATCTGTAAAATTAACATAAAAAGTATGAGGAGGTAAAATAATTTTCCAACTACTACTTAACATTTACAATTACTACTTAACATTATTTGAGTAATTTACAAATGGCATAGGTCATAACAGTGTAAGGCAGAACCATTTTCATCGACCTTCTTAAGTTTAACACAATACGTTTTTAGTTACTGACACAAAATAATAACACTTCGTCATGCTTTAAATTGACGAAAGTATCAACTAAATCCTTCTAATAATTTTTATAACACGAACCATTAAGATTAAAATGAATTTAAAAAGAATAAATTATATTATACAGGAGTTATCAGTTTTTTGGTATCCCCTTGATTAATTTTTCTTTAGAAAAGAAAATTGTTAACTTGAAAATGTTTAATGCACACATTTAAATAAATTTATTAAAAATAACAAAGTTTATTATAAATAACTAAGCAACTGAGTACAAATACGTTTCAAACAAAAAAAAATTAATTTACGATCAAATATGGGTATAATAAATTTGAAAAATGTGTAAACTTAATGCATTAATGCATATGACAAACCTAAAATAAAAATTATAACAAATAAGTAGACATAAAAATTTGTAAACCAAGCTGACCCGACCCGGGTCTTGTTAAGTCTGTTCAACACAGACCATCTCTATATTATTTGTTTGGCCTCTTTATTTCATTAATTTTTAGTGAACGGTAACTTGCCACCATTTACTAAAAATTCCTTTTGTAACTCGAAATTTAATTTTCTTAAATATTTTGACTCTAAAGATAAAGAGGTTTCTCCCCCCATTTACAAAGATCCCCTTAAAATACGTACAACAAATTATTAGGCATAAAATACATAAACATAAAATTAACTAATAGCATATATTTATATCTTTTTAACTAACGATAATTTACAATGAAAAGAAATCAGGTTTTTTTTATTTTATAAATCTTATAAATGCGTCATAACGTATTTCTGAAAAAAAAAAGTAATGAAATTATGATATCGTAATTACAAAGAAAAAAAAATTTATAGTAACCTATTTTGAAATTGCAGCTAAAGATTTATCTAAAATGTAACTATAAAATCTGTTTCGAAGTACAAAAGCATTAACAATACTAAAAAAAAAATCAAACTAAGATATAAATTGTTGTCTTGGCTTTTAAAGTTTAAACATATATACAACTATAAACAATAATGAATTTATGTAACACATATAAATACATTTTACAACTATTGAATGATATATATATTTATCAAAAACAATGAAAAAAAATAAATAATGATAAATAAAGTTATACATACAAAATGTGCTCACAACCTTTAACAGTAAATTTTCGAAATGAAAATCTTAAGACTATAAATTAAGAACATTAAAAAATATAACAATATTTATGTTACATTTTTTTACCTACTATACCTTGAATAAAATGTTTATCAATTTTGAAAAAAAAACTATTAAATGCTCTAGTTCTTAAAAATGCAACATATAGTTGACCATGATATATAACAGTAACTGGTTTTATTATGTTACCAATAAACAAAATTATTTTTACCTTAACTAAAAGTTAATTTACAGCATTTCTTAATTAAGTTCCAGCTTCTCTTTAACTGTTGACAAATGATTAATATTGTAAATTTCACATCATATTAAATTTACAAAATTAAAACCATGTTTCAACAGTAAGCAAAATAATCAAGTGATGGCAAAGACAACTAAAAAAAAAAATGAACACAATTATGTTTAAGATTACAAAAAAAAAAAAAAAAAAATTAAAATCATGAAAAATTGAAACTGTTATTATTTGTTACTATAAATAGTAAAATTCATACTTTAAAATTAAAATATTAAAAATAGTAAAATCCATACTTTAAAAATCATATTTTAAAGAGTCTAATGTAAAATAAATTAATAGACATCAACACCGCTTGACACTGAATTCTGGCAAAAAAGTTTTCTGTTCATCAAGCAAAATTTCTTATATTTCAACGACAATTAATTTTATCACGCCTAGATCTATTTCTTTCATATGACAACAATTTCAAGTCACCTATAATCATTTACACTAATAACTTCTTCGAACCTAATATTATACATCTGCTATCATTAAATATATTACCAGTTTTCTACTGTTATTCTACTGTTACAATTATTCTACAACAGTTATTCTACTGTTACAACTGAATAAATGAACGTTTTGTTTAATATTTTTACTGAAAAATATTAAACAAAAATGAAATATTAAACAAACTTTTATATTAAACAAAATATTAAACAAAAATGAAAACTGAAAAATATTAAACAAAAAGTTTGACATTATTTTAATTTAGCAAAGAATTTAGACTACCATGCAAAGTTATTTTTACCTTCAGGCACAATCTTAATGCACAAAAATAATAAATGCAGAATCTTGTATATATGATGAAGCAATGTCAGTCTAAAGTATGAATAAATGAAGCAATGTCAGTCTAAAGTAATATATATATATGTATGTATATAAAATCAAATTTTTTTCTATTCTTTTTAATTTTTTCTATGAGATAATATTTATATAGATTCAGAGAAATATAAAATATTCTGATATATAGGCACATTTATGTATATAAACTTACCTGTCAAAAATTACAGTCAGTTTTCTTGTTAAATACATAAAATATATATCTAATATAAAATAAAACAAAACATTAAACTTACTCAAATCAGTAACAGTTCGACTGTCTAAATATTTTTATTATCAACCCTTCTA